GTAGACGTCTCCGTAATCATTCCCTCTCCCGGCCGTTCAATTCCACGCTCCGCGTCTGTGCCTGCTGCCCCGAATGCCGCCTCCACCGCGCCTGCGCGCTCCGTCGGCGGGTGCCTTGCCCAGTGTTGGTGCCAGATCGCGTGCGTCGATTCGCCAGTGCCTGAAGCTTTCTCGTTGTTGTCGTTGTTGCACCCGGTGGATCCGTCTTCCCTGGTCCAGCTCGTCGCGCCATCCGCTAGATTCCAGAGTTAGTTGGCCAGGATGAATCCAGGAGTGCGCGCTGTGTCCTCCTGAGAACAAATACTGCGAGTCCGCCCAGCAGCGCTCCGTCCGCGAACGCTTGGAACATCCGTCTCTTGATTGGCTCGGGGGTGCTGCTACTCCAGAACGTGCCTCCTTGCCGCCGTGCAAATCTTGCTGATGCAGCCCCTCGCTGATTCCCTGGCAGTCCCTGCTCCGCTGGCAGGCGTGGCCCAAGCAGTCTCATCTCTCCGAGGGCGTGTCCCCGGAGCGTATTGCTTCTTCTGAGGGTGCGTGTTGTGGCATGGCTTCCCGGGCCCTCGACGCAACGCAAGCGGTTGGTTTTCGGATTGTTTGGGCCCTGGCCTCCCTTCCCGATCTTGCCAGCTAATCATTCGGTCGTGGCATTGAGCTGCCCTTCCATGTCTCTGCCTCGCTGCTTTGTCGCGTATCTTGTGTTTTTGTAATATCGCCCATGGGAATGTTGATGCTGATGCCGTACTTTTGCCCGTCTGTGGGATTGATCGCGTCGCGCGTCCTTTTCCTGGGTTTGATTCTTTCCTCCTGCAACCATGGGTCAACGTAAGTGTTGCGGCAGTCGTTGGGCCATCTGGGCGCAGGTGTTAAACCCATCTGACTGCCATGTCTCGTTTCTACTTCTGCCGTGCCATCCGCTGCCTGCAGTGTCAGCTTTGTGTTTTCAATCTATCCCGTTGCAAATGTTTTGTCTGCGTCCTCCGCGGTTCTCCATGCCGCCGCCCTCAACAGCGCGGCAACAAAGGCATCGGGCCAGCCGGGGCTCGCCATGGGGCTGCCGACGCCCCCCTGCTGCAATCTGCGCTCTCCCGCGCAACGCGCACATAATGATACTGCCCCTCGATCGGCGCGGGGGCCCCCCTGGCGCCCGCGGTGGATGCACCTTGGGTTGGCCTCGCTTCTGAAGCCTTGGGTGAGAAGCCGCGCTCGCGCTGCAACGTGCACGCATGGTCCTTCTGCCCGCTGTCCTCGCCTTCCCGTCGCCTCGCTCCGCTGCGAGCGCCGCGGATCTGTGCCGGTCGTGCGGCGTCGTCTCGCTAGTCCGCCATGTGATAGGCAGCTCGTTGAGCTGCAACTGAGCTGTTCTGGGTGGCCTTTGCTGAAACGTCTCCGTGCCCAGACCTGCCATGCTGGACCAGCAAATGAAAGAGGGCCGGGCAGCGTGCGCTTCTCTCGCCTCGCCCAGGCTGCAGCTGTCACTTCCCGTCCCTGTCTTCTCGCCCACGCTCCGTCTCATTCTCGTCATCACTATCACCATCATCCTCCTCCTCCTCCTCCTCCTCCTCCTCATCATCAGCATCATCACCATTATGACCACCATCATCATCATCACCATCACCATCATCACCATTACCATCATCACCATCATCATCAACATCAGCATCATCATCATGATCATGCTCATTCTCATCATCATCAGCACCATCATCATCAGCACCACCATCATCACCACCACCATCATCATCACCATCACCATCACCATCACCATCACCATCACCATCACTATCACCCATCACCATCATCATCATCATCATCACCATCATCTCTCTCTCTCTCCCCTCTTTGAATTTGCCCGGTGGGGTGTAATGCTGCAGCTCCTCCTCGCCCTCCTTTTCTTCAGCTCTCCTCACTGCCTCCTCCTCCCTTCTCTCGCTCTGCAGGGTCGGCGATTCTAGATTGACCGTCGGGTCCAGTAACAACCTTGCCATCTCCGTCGGGGGCCCCCATGCTGGCCATGCTCTCCTCTTGTTCGCTTTCCTGGAATAAATAAGGATGTGCTCTTTGTCTTGCTCTAATTACGCTAGCAGTTCGTGGTCCTCCGGCAGGGGCGTCTCCTGCTCAGCGTTACCTTCTCGCCTTTGCGCTATCTGCTGACGATCAATCTTTTTCGCCCCAAGCCCTCCGTCCAAGTGCTGCCTTGCCCAGCTCACCCGTCCATGCCTCGCGGTCCCAGTGTGAGGATGCCGCAATGTAGTGCCTTCTTGGGTCCTCTGCAAGTCCGATTGTATGGTGTCTGTAATCAACGCATGTCCGACATTTTTTTCGCTGGTTTGCTTTTTACATAGGTTCCACCGGCGTAACCCTCCTGTGTTCTTCGTGTTCTTCTCTCGCCGGTGGTTCTCGCTCTCAGGTCGCTCGTCCGCTGCAGCAATGTCATTTTACTTCGTTTGTGAGCTCATCCAACTGTGACGGGAAGTTACCTGCCCCCACTGTCTCTTCCAGCGCCTGTCGCATCGCTTACCCGTGTCTGTCCCAGGCAGCATCCGGTGTATTTCTCGCAAGCAGTCTGTCCCAGTTGGCACTCCCCTCTCCTCCGAAGAGGTCCTCGATCCTGTCAAACAGCTCCGCTTGTACCCTCTTCTCAGGCACTGCATTAACATATCTCTGCCCAGTTTGGGTCTCTCCGCTTCGGGTCGGAGACCTCGCATGACATATTTGAGCGATGCTGTCAACACAATTCCCACAAGCACGTGATCTCTGAATCCCCTGGCCTTTTCGTACCGTTGAAGTCTCTTTCCCGCGCACCTGAGCGTGTCGCATCTCTCCACGACCTTTGCTGGGCTGGCTGGAACGGCTATGTGGCCAATTCTTGAGTGTGTGCCCTGGTTGCCGTAGAAAGTTGTCCCAATACCTGCCATTGTCGTCACAATCGTTAGATCGTGTGCCATGCTGTTCCGTCGGCGTTCGCCAGCTTCGGGTGGTCCTCCTATTGTCGCACCTGCGCTGTGCACCACCATGCAGTCATATGCCCTGTACATATCAAAATCACTGTCGATGTCCCCTCTCTCCACCACCGTTGTTCTACTCCCTGCTTTGTCAATTTCCTCCTCCACCCGGTCCATGCCTTTGTTTGCGACCGCTGGGTGTGACTGCATGTGTACTGGCGCAAAACAGCACGGGAAGAAGGCGCATTCCACCTTGTGGTTGGAGAATCTGATGCCTGCTACTTTGCCTTGTAGTCCCGCGGGTGGCAGAATCATTCTCCCAAGTACACTATGAACCATCATGTTGCTCACTATCGCTGCAGTTCCACCCGAATTAGATATGATGCTGCCTTTTGGTTTTCCCACTTTTAACTACATGCCCATTGGTGCGGTAGGATTGCTTTGGTGACCTGCTCGTCCCTGCTCCACTGTGCTGTCCCCGCTAGCAGCATCACATCCCAATCCTTCAGTTCGCAGAATGCCTTCCAGTCTCTCGTGGGATTTCGCCGACAATGAATTTTAGTCGCATCTTCGCATGCCGAGAGAAATAAGTCGACACAAGCAGTAATGATAGTCTCATGCATGGGTCTCTTCCTTCCTGCCCTGTGATATGGGGCGAGGGTCCCTGGATCGTTGGGCTGAATGCAACTGCATATCGTCGCTCACTATCCTAAGTTTCGAATGCCGACTCGGAGAAGGAGGAGGAGGAGAACGGATGGAGAGGATAATAATGATGAAGACGTGGAGGAGCGAGGAGGAGGAGGGGGAGAAGGAGGAGGAGGAGGAGGAGAAGGAGGAGGAGGAGCAGGAGAAGGAGCAGGAGGAGGAGGAGGAGGAGCAGGAGGCTGAGGAGGATGAGAAAGAGGTGGTTGAGGAGGAGGAGGAGGAGCGAGGAGGAAGAGGAGGAAAAGGAGGAGGAGGATGAGCAAGAGCAGGAACAGGATGAGCAGGATGAGGAACTTACCGGCGAAGTGCTGGAGACTGTGGGGAGGCCTTGCGGGAACTCCGTGCTGCCAAAACCCATTAGTTGTCCGCAACGGACCAAATCCGTAAAGCCGAAACTCAATACCAGGAGGAGGAACGAGGAGTAGGATTAATCAATGAATGAATGAGCTAATGGGGTCCTCTGAAGGTCGGCCAGACAAGCAGCGCTGGCCTCATGACTGAATTTGGGACTCTGAGAAGGCTCCCTCCGAAACCTTCCGAGGCAACTGCACGGTACTCCGCCGCGCCGTGCACCAGGCAGCACTGGTCAGGCCTGCACCAACGGCCCGCGTGCAGCGAGTGCGGACGAGGAGGAGCGAGGACGAGCGAGTAGGGGCGAAGAGCGAGGAGGAGGATGAGGAGGAGGAGGAGGAGGAGGAGGAGGAGGAGCAAGAGCAGGAGCAGGATGAGCAGGATGAGGAACTTACCGGCGAAGTGCTGGAGACTGTGGGGAGGCCTTGCGGGAACTCCGTGCTGCCAAAACCCATTAGTTGTCTGCAACGGACCAAATCCGTAAAGCCGAAACTCAATACCAGGAGGAGGAACGAGGAGTAGGATTAATCAATGAATGAATGAGCTAATGGGGTCCTCTGAAGGTCGGCCAGACAAGCAGCGCTGGCCTCATGACTGAATTTGGGACTCTGAGAAGGCTCCCTCCGAAACCTTCCGAGGCAACTGCACGGTACTCCGCCGCGCCGTGCACCAGGCAGCACTGGTCAGGCCTGCACCAACGGCCCGCGTGCAGCGAGTGCGGACGAGGAGGAGCGAGGACGAGCGAGTAGGGGCGAAGAGCGAGGAGGAGGATGAGGAGGAGGAGGAGGAGGAGGAGGAGGAGCGAGAAGGAGCGAGGCGGAGAAGCGAGGAGGAGCGAGGACGAACAAGGAGGGGTGAGAAGGAGCGAGGAGGAGTGAAGAGGAGCGAGGACGAACGAGGAGAAGCGAGGACGAGAGGAGGAGCGAACGATGGGGCGAGGAGGAGCGAGGAGGAGCGAGGAGAGGCGAGGAGGAGCAGGATGGCCGCGGCGTCGCGCGCGGCCTCGGCCTCGTGCGCATCCCGCAGCTCCTCGCAGGCGGCCTGCTGCCGCGCCAGCAGCAGCGCGAACGGCCGCGGCATGCCGCCCCCCGCCCCCCCCCCTCTGCGCGTGGCCGCCCACCACCCACCCCGCGGCGGCGCGGCGCGGCGGAGCGCGCGCGGCCGGCGCCCGCGCCCCTCGGGGAGGGGCGCTCTCGAGAGGCGCGCTCGGGCGCGGCCGCGCCGCCGCCGCCCTGCCTCCCCGAGCGAAGCGGCGGGTGTCTCGCCTAAGACTTCCTCATCATTTATGACCCTGAAGCTTAAACTTTGACAGGGGCCGTTTTCAAAATGTGGCTATCGCTTTAGCGCCGCGCACAACCGGTTTTTGTTTCTAAATTTGCAAGCGCTTCACGGATTGAGGGCGACCCGTTTTCAAAATGTGGCTCCCGACTTAGCGCCGCGTGCATTCGCTTTTCAATATTTGGAAGAGTTTCACGGGTTGAGGGCGGTTCCTTTTCAACATGTGGCTCTCGCCTTAGCTAGCGCTGCGCACATTTGTTTCAGAAAAAAAATGCAAGAGTTTCACGGGCTCCCAGGATCAGCGTACCAGAAACGGTGTTTTGGAAGGGTTCGAGATTATGAGGGTGCAACAGTTACGTTGACTCATGGTGTTGAGCACTTCCCTCAGAGGAAATGAGCCGTTGTAGGGGCCTGTGAAAAGGGAGCTTGGAGGGAGGGTTTACTCCAACATCGCTGATGACCCTTGGGTTTACACGGGTCCTCCTCCTCCTCCTCCTCCGTTTCCTCCTCCCCCTCATCACTTCCTCACCGTGGGCTAAAAAGGTGCATCCAGCAGCCAACCTTCGGTATCTCCACCTCCTCCGTCATCTTTTCGTGACCCCATTAAATCGCTATCTGGGGTGAGACACGGCCAGGGGGTCTGAGCTGGATGAACCAAGCAGGGGGGATGATGGCAAATTCGCTCGGAACCAGTCCCCGGACCCCTCCCAAAGTCGAAGCTGACCAAATCTTCGAACCGCGTCCAGCCGTAGCGACGAGGGCACCCCTTTTCTCCCCCCTTCCTGGCTTGAGCCAATGCTGGGCCACCTCAGCCCCCCAGCTGGCTCCAGCTCCGCGAATTGTTTACCGCTTCTGCCGCCGCGCGATCCCCAAACGAGCCCACGGGCAGCCGCCGGAGTCGACGCCGTGGCCGCGAAGCCATCGCCTGAGCTCTGCCCAGGGGCCCGCTGGGGGAGGGGAGGCGATGCGCATACGCCGAGCACTAAAGAACAGGAAACGACGAGCGAGCGAGCGATGCCCGCAAAGAGGAGGAGAGGAAAGAAGCGTGCGAGGAAAGGAGGAGAGGAAGAGAGGGGGAGGCGGCGGAAGGATCAGCAACATTCGGCGGACGTCACGGGACTGTGGGTTCTCTGGTGTAATCCAGCCGGAAAATCCTCTCCTGGTATGTCCACTTTGACGGTGCCCTACGAGCGCTCGCAAGGCCCAGAAAGGCGGCCCCATGACTGCCCAAGACAAATCAACACGACCCTACGCACCGAAGACGTTACCGCGAAGGCTGCAAGACCCTCCTAGACGATCTGCAGAGTCCCCTCGTCTGGCTGCGCCCGCTGGCCGTAAAGGCCTGTGGGGGCGCTCGGGCTGCCCCGCGGGCTCGGCGCCCAGCGGGGCCGCGCGGCTGCGCGACCCAGCCCTCGGCCTCGGCGGCGGCCGCCGCGGGCGGCGCAGTCGGGGACTCGCTGGCTTCCCGAACTCTTGGCGCGACCCACGGTGGCGCCTTCGCACGGCGACCCAGGCGCTGGCCTCGCCGCGACCAGTTCCGCGCGCGGAAGGCCCCCGCGCAGCGCGCCCAGTGGCCGCCAGACGCCGAACGGGGCGCGGGGCTGCGTGCCATCGCCGCCCGCGTTGACCCGGTCGATAGCCCGCAGGCTGCTCGCAATCGCTCCGAGCGTAGATCTGGCTCTCAGCGCGGAGCCCCTCGCGCTCGGACCGCCGCGGGCGACTCGCGGTCGTCGGGGGCTCCGTGGCCTTGAACCAAACTGGCTACGGATGGTCTGCCGTGCTGGTCAGCCGCGCCCCTGTTGTATGCCCCGTGCGCTCGCGGTCTGCCGTGCAGCTGTGGTGTGCCGTTCTGGTCTGCTGCGCCGTTGTGGTCTGCCGTGCTGAAATAAAATGGAACGACATGTTGGGGGCGCAAGGCCTGAAGAGCAAGCCCGCTGGGGGCCTTCCCATGGGGGCGAGCCAGGCCAGGCGGAGGGGGGCCCAGTTCGAAAGGCCCAGGAAAAAAAGGTCACCCCCGAAAGCCCTGGGCGCACGCGCCGCAGGGAACTCGCACGAACAAGCGAGAAGCAATGCCGATCAACTGAACAAAAAACCGAACTTCAATCAGATCACGACACCATTATGTGCAGGACGGCGGTGAGAATGCAGTAGCTGCGATGTGTGACGAATACATGTAAGGTTAGACGCGTCGAGAACCCTGATTCTTTCGCCCAGTGGGCTGCGAGGAAGTGCAGCCGAGGCGAGGCTGCCCCTGCGCGGGCTGCCTCGCGGCGCCGAGGCGGCGGGGGCGGCGGCGCGGGCCCCCGCTCGCTCAGCTGCGGACGGGCCAGCAGCCGAGGCGCGATCTCTCGAGGGCCCGCGCGATCGCGCGCCGTCGTCGCCCCCGCTGGCCTCGCGGCGTCTCCGCTTGGCAGCTCGCTCTTCTTGCTCGGCTTCGCGCGCGGCCTCGACCCATTCCGCCGGGGTGGGATCCTCCAGGCCGCGCGCCGCGAGGCCCTCTGGCCCAGCGATGGTCTTCGCCGCCCCCTCGCCCCTCGGCGCCGAAAAGCGGGCGGCCGCGGCGATGGGGGCTCCTCCTCGACTGGGCCCGGCCGCTCCGCTGGCGCGCCCGCGGCAGCTGGCCGCCCCCGCCTCCTGCGACTCCGCCGGCGGGCCCGGCCTGCTGAGGTGCTCGCTCTTGAACCCGTCAGTGAACGGCACCTCCCGCCATCGGCGCTCTCCCAGCTCGCCGTCGCCTCCCGGATGCCGGCCGCGCCCCCGCCTGCCGAGCTGGTCGCGCCAAAGCATCGCGCTCGCTGGGCGCGCCGGCCTCGGGGCAGGGAGAGCGCGACGCGGGTCCGCGGCCGCCCGCGGTGGCGCGGGCTCCGCAGACCCTGCGGCCGACCAGGCGGGGCTCCTGGACTGGCTTCCCGTCGGCCAAAGCAAGGCGCGGCACGTGGCCCGGCGCTCGAGCCGGGGCTGTCCGCCGTCGCGCGCGCGGCCTCCGCGCGCCGCTGCTTCGCCGGCGGCGCTGCGGGGTCACGGCTGAACTGGGCCACCTCGGCCTCGCCGAACTCAACGTGCGGCCGCTTCCTGTCGTCGCCCTCGGGCACTCCCCCAGCGCCCTTAGGCCTCGCGCTCCTGCGAGATGATCGCCGCGGGCGCGACCCACCTGGCCAGCTCCAGGAGCGCCAGAGGGGAGACCTTAAAGTGCTGCGCCACCTTCTTCTGGTGCCGCGTGCATGGCAGCTCCGCGCTTCGAAGGTTTCCGCGCGCTGGCTGCGTGGCCGCCGCGCTGGGCTGATCCTGCCGTCGATGACCTGGCCCCGCGAGCGCTGCGCGGAGATCCTGTGGACCGCGTAGTCGCCAAAGTCGGAGGTGGCGAAGTGCCGATCCCGGGCGCCGGGTCTGCTGGCCCCTGCGGCGCGGGCCCCGCCGCGCTCGAGGCGCGACGCGGTCGAGGCGCAGTCTGCGTAGAAGCGATTGGACCCTGGTTACGCCACCTCGCGGAGCATTCAGCAGGCGAAATCCACTGCGTTCTTGTTCCCCTGCTGCGGGTGGAGGTCGTCCCTGCAGGTGCCGAAGCAGACCGCCTCTAGCCGCTCTCGCCGCGCTGCCAGATGGCCTGGCCATCCCGTCTGATGGCGATGAAGCTCGAGGGCCGAGCCGCCAGAGCACAGGCGCCCGCCGAGTCGACCATCTGCCGGCCGCTGGTACCAGTAGATCTGGCTATCGAGCCCGCGGACCTGCAACATCGGCATGGGGGCGGGCAGCCGGCGACGCGCGAAATCCTCTGCCGCCTCTTCGCTGCGCTGTCTGACCCCGCGCGCGCAGCGCCTCGGCCGCGGCGATGGGCTGTCGCGCCTCGCGCTCGCCAGGCAGGGGCACTCAAAGAGCCCGTGGAACAGCGCGCCGTTGCCTGCGCCGCGCAGCCCGCGGCGCACATAAGGCGCGCTCGCCGGCCTGGAGGAGGCGCTGCTGAGGCCAGTGGGCGTTCGAGAACACCAGAAAGAAGGCCGCGGCTTTCCGGGCTGTCATGCTGCCTCCTGGGCCGGCGAGGCCCCTGGCTGCGCGTGGCCGGAGTGGCTCGGCGTGGAGCCCCCCTTTCGCCAGGTGGTGCAGCTCTCTGCGGGCGGAGGCGCGCCCGGCGCCGAGCTCGGCCTCTGCGGGCAGGTCGTGGGGCGCAGTTGGACCCGCGGGCCGACCTGGCCCCCGAGGTCCGAGGCCACCTCCGTCTCCGAGACGGAGTGCCAGTGGGCGCGCTTCAGCGCGAGGACGGGCGCGTCGACCGGCGGTGCGCCCAGGGCGACGCAGCTGCTCCGTACCTCGCCTCGGCCACGCTGAGGCCCTTCTTGGGCATGCCAAGGGGCGCCGCGCTGGAGCGAACCGGCGCCGCTGCCATGGCGACGGCGCTCCCCGCCGCCATCGCCTCGGGGTCCACCGAGCGCCCCGTCTGGACTTCGGCTGCGCTGAGGTGCAGGCCGAGGGCGGCGCCGTTCGGGGGGCGGCCTGAGCTCGTGCATGCCTGGATGAGCGTGCAGCGTGTAGGTCTCCGTCTGGGACGCCCGTGGCCGCACGGCCCCAGAGGAAGCTGGCGGTGAGCCCTGCCTTGTGGAGGCTGTCGACGGCCACGCCAGCTGCGCGCATTCCTCGGGCACGCCGTCCTCGTCGTAGCGCTTGCTCCGCCCGCGTGGCACTCCGGGCAACGCCTCTGCTGGAAATGTCCGCTTCCATCCCCAGGCTCCTGGCTTGCAAGGCGCGGCTGAAAGACCATACCTCCTCGCGCCAGACGTCGGCGTCGGTCAGGGGCGCTGCCACGGTCCCGCTGCTCGCTGGGAAGTGCGCTTTCTCGGCTCTCGCGGGCCGGTGGCGCAGGTGA